TCCATGGACTTCTCCAGGCAAGAATACTGGAGTGGGTCGCCATGCCCTTCTCCAGGGAATCAGCCCAATCCAGGGATCGAACTCACCAATCTTGCATTGGCAAGCAGATTCTTTACCACTGAGCCACCAGGGAAGCTCAGAAATACCTCAGTAAGATAATAAAATACCAAGCAGAACCTCTGTCATTATCTTTAGGCAAACACTTGGTAATTCCAACTGTATACCTTTAAAAAAAAAAAATCATTGTAAACATTGATAAAATCCCTGTTTTTCGATTGCTAAACTGAGCCATAAGAAAGTTACCAGGAGCATGGAGTATCATACACAAATCCACTGCTAATCTTCCAGCCTCAAAGCCCTTCTTCCCCCAAGCACTCCTGCTTCCTCTATTCATTACCCAAGGCCTCCCCCAATTCTGGGAGTGTTAAGCGAGCATCAGATCCCCATCCCTACAAGGAAATGGAAGCTAAAATCACCTCTAGTCCAGTTTTATGTGGTGCCTTTAAGTTGTCATTATTCAATCCCTAAATACTTTCAGGAGGTAAAACTTGAACAGTACAAAAGGAATAGTGTGTAAACAACTCCCTCTCTCTCCCTCCCTCTCTTGACCTCTAGTCCCTCAAGTCGCCTTACTAGAAAATCGTTAATTATGTTTCTTGAGCATCCTCCCAGATGTTGTTGCTGTTCAGTTGCTAACTCATGTCTGACTCTCTATGACCCCATGAACTGCAGCACGCCAGGCTTCCCTGTCCTTCACTATCTCCTGGAGTTTGCTCAAACTCATGTCCATTGGGTCGGTGATGCCATCCAACCATCTCATCCTCTGTCACCCGCTTCTCCTCTTGCCCTCAATTTTTCCCAACATCAGCATCTTTTCCAATGAGTCAGCTCTGCATCAGGTGGCCAAAATATAGGAGCTTCAGCATCAGTCCTTCCAATGAATAGTCAGGGCTGATCTCCTTTAGGATTGATTGGTTTGATCTCCATGTGGTCCAAGGGACTATATCCCAGATATAGTTGGTGTATATAATAATATATATACATATGATTTATAGAATGTTTTGCTCTTTAAATTGCAAAATCCCACAGTAAATTCCCAGAAGTGTAATCTGCACAAAATCTTAGAGGAAACACAACATCAACGTTAGAAATGTCCAATACTCCAGCAGGTTAAGGGGAATTTGACAAGGTGTCTTACAATGATTTGAAACCATAAAATACACACTTCTCATTTTCATATCTGCCATCTTTTATGAAATCACTTTTAGCCTGTATCCAAAAGAAGTACACGACTGAAGCGACTTAGCAGCAGCAGCAACAGCAAAAGAAGTACTCACTGATTTAAAATTATATCTCATCATCTGTATGGGAACTAATTTTTAAGCTTCAAGAGGAACTGCAAGGCTCTAATAATTCAGGATCTAATGAGCAAGTCCAAATTCAATCTATCTATGTACTCCTTTCATTGCACCTGATGGCTCACAGAAGGTGCCTGGGAAATGTGACAATCCCAGCCTCTGGCAACTTCTATGTTTTTAAAATCAGGTAGGTGACAGTTTTGCCAAACAGACATTAGCAATCATGCATGTAGTAGCTAAATCCCTATTTAGAGCAAAAAAGTGATCACGCTAGGAAGGGCTGGTGGCTGCACAGCCACCTTGGTTAAATATTAGCTGCCTTCAGACTCGGCAATTTCTGACTCCCCAAATATCCTTTCCCATCCCCTGACTCAGTTCCTTTTAAGTCTAGATCCTTCATTCATATAGCACAGTGGGCAAGAACTTGGGTGCTGGAGGCAGGCAGACTTGAGTTTAAATGACCTCTACCAATTCGCTTCAACTCATTAAGCTGTAGCTTTTTTATCTGTAAAACAACTCCTTCATTAGAACATAGAGGGTTTTGTTTTGTTTTGTTTTGTTTTTTTGCTACAGTGCAGGATGTGCAGGATCTGAGTTCCCAGTCCAGGGATCAAATCCATGCCCCTGCAGTGGAAGCAGGAATTCTTAACCACTGGACTGACAGGGAAGTTCCACTGAGATATCATTTTTGTAAAGCACTAAGTACAATGCCTTTCATCAGAACTAGCTACATAATCTATGGAACCTGATACAAAATCCAAATGTGGAGCCCCTTGTTCAAAGATTATTAAGGATTTCAAGATGGCGACAGCATAGCGTCAGATTGCGGGGCCCTGTGGGAGGGCACAGGTGGCAGGCCTATGAAGCTAGCCCTCCCTTTCAGATGATAAATGTTCAATAGACGGTAACTTTATTACCTTACCAGTTTCCCTCCCTGCAGCCTCTCTACTCCCTATGTGATGCCTAATCTACTCCACTTGCAAAGTTTCAGGGGGCCTTTCCAAAAACAGGCACTTTGCCTGAGGAGTAACCTGCATTTACAAGGAAAAAACTGACCCAAATGGGGGGATCTAAAACAGAAGGTGATGATACCATAAGCTCATACCAGATGCACTCCCACCTGAGGGCCTTTGCTCTGGTTTTTCAACCTGCTGAGATCCTTCTCCCCTCTTTCAAGCCTCTGTTCAGATCCACTTTGCATGGGAGGCTTATTCTCATCACTCAATTCACTCTGTCCCCCTTAGCTCACTCTTATTTTTTCCATAGTACTTTATTGTCCAGCAATACTATATCTCTTACTTCTTATGCTTATCGTTTCATTGTTTATCTTTCCTTGAACACACACACACGCGCATAGAGTGTAAGCTTCTCAAGGTCAAGCATTGTGAGGTTTTTTTGTTCACTGATACACCCCAGCTGCTTGAGGGCAAGAGGAGAAGGGGGTGACAGAGGATGAGATTGTCGGATGGCATCACCGATTCAATGGACATGAGTTTGAGCAAACTCTGGGAGATAGTGAAGGATAGGGAAGCCAGGTGTGCTGCAGTCCATGGGGTCGCAAAGACTCCGAGATGACTATCAACTGAACAACAACTGCTTAGAGCAGTGCTTTGCACATAGGAGAGACTCAACAAGCATTCACTGAAAGAACAAATAAATCTTTGAATGAATGCATAATCAGGCCACCCTTTTTCCACTTGGAGGTCAGGCCATTTCACAAATGGCAATAATCAGCTCTGCAACTGGATACTCAACAGAGTTCGAGAAACAGATGGGAAAGTTATCTATTTTCAAATCTCTGCCAAACTCCCCTTAGTTTAGAAGGAATATAATCCAGTCTTCTGTGCTACTAAATCTCATCTTTCAATACTAATTCATATACTCAGTTTGTGGGCCATGACTTGCAACAATGACAAGTGGTATTTCATATGAGAGCTGCCCAGAAGAGAGACAAGTCCCTAAGTGGCAGACATAAAAAATAATTGAAAAAAAAAATCAAATTAGAAGAAAAATAGTCACCCGTCACTGCTTCATCACAATGACAGAGAAAAATGAAGCTCTTACTACAAAGAAAAAGGTAAGGTCTTTGCTCCTGAAACTGTGCATAAAGATGTGAGCCAGTCCGAGCAGTTCTGCCTGGAGTTAATGCCACAGTCACACATAGCATCTCAAACCCTGAGATCTCACAAATAAGTCCTGAGGCCCAAGGAAGGGAATGTGGACGTTGCACATAATTTATCCCACCAGCAGAAAGACAACCCAAAGCATTACAGCTGCTGGATGAGACATTTTCACAGCATTCGTGAGGACAAAAGAGAAGAGCTGCCCCTCGCACATGGTTAAAGTGTGGCCCACGTCAGGAGAAACATCTGGAGATACTATCAGGAGATATTTGAGGGCCATCCCACTCTTAGTTCTATCTTGGCAACAGGAAGCACATCTGGGCCCCCCAGTCCAAACGGAGCCCACGTGGTCTCCTCGGGACAGGCACAGCCCAGAAGATCACACCACACATCTGGCTTTTGAGCCAGCATGGGCTTCCACTCCCTCTCAGCCCGCCCTCGGCCTGTTTTCAACAAGCCATTCTCAGCCACCACAAATGCCTTGGTGGGAATCACAGGGAGGCCCTCCTCCCTTTTCCCAAAATAACGTCAGCCAGAGGCCAAGGCCAGAGAGGTGGAGCCTGCAGGCCATTTTGCAAAAGTTTCAAATATCCTGGCACTGACCCCACTAAAAGAATCATAAAAGGGCAACAGCCAAGCTTCTCATTTTATTAGTATTTCTCCCTCTCTCTCTCAATACAAAATCTGCATTTGTAAAAAGGAAATAGAAACAAAGAGATCTCACAATAAAGTCATAGTCTCAGTGCTGGCTGTTGTAAACAAAATTTCATGTTGCAAATTTAATACTAAACACTCGAAATTGAAAACTTTTAAAGAAATGTGTGTGCTCTATGAGAGTTTAATGCTTAAAGGGGTCGACTGGGGCATAAAGCTGAGCAAGGAACTGGTGAGCTGTCCCACCTTCCCCAAATCCTTTCCGAAATGTGCACTGTCTCAGATTTTCCATACCCCTTTGCTGATCTTTCCTCTGAAGGAGGAAGCAGACTTCTTGGCTGCATGGTTGAAGGAGTCAAATAAAGCAGTCTTTCTTCTAAAAGGAAGGGGCCTTTTTTCAAGACACACACACATACACAGAGGTATATTTCTTAAAATACAAATCAAAAAGTAAAGAAGAGAGGGAGAGAATATGACCGCGAAGGAAAGAAACTGCTACTTTTTTTGTCCAGTTTTTTTAAAGCTTCCCACAAAAATCAGTAGCAAACTAAACAGATTATCAAACCATCTACCCCTTCTCCAGCTTTATGGAGCAATAGGAAATGAAACAGCAGATGTGAAAAGCACTCGGGGAAGAGTATAAGTTGCCAAAGGAACAAAAAGGGTCGTTACTGTTATCAAAAATTTTAAAGGGCCAGCGGCCCACCTTCACCTTTCAGCTAGAAAAACCACACCTCTCCCAGATTGCTCCATTCTGGGAAGGCTCTTCCCGAACACTCCCTCCCCAGTTCCTGGTCCCGAGCCGTTCCTTTGATGACAATTTCCCCGCTCCAGCCGCCCCTCCCCCGGCCCGCCGAGTCCTCACCGTGTGGTACATGAGAGCCTCGGTCTCCCCGGGCTCTGACAGCTCACTCAGCTTGCGGTCCCACTGCAGGACGCTCTGCTCCCCGCTCTCCAGCACCTCCATGGCGGTCCGAGGCGCGCTGGGGCCGAGGATGCTGAGCGCAGGAGGGGAGCGGACCGCGCGGCCTCGGAGGGCGAGATCCGCCTCCGAGTGAGGGTGTGTGCCTGTGTGTGTGCCCGTGTGTGCGTGCGTATGCGTGTAGTTTATGCACTTAGGAAGCAAAACGTTCGCTCCTCTGCCTCAGAGAGAACTGCCAAGGGCTCCGGGTCCAGTGTCCTCGAAGATCTGAGAATCTCCTGAGGAGACAGATTGTCCAGAGATCAGATCGTAGGCTGAGGAGAATAAACCAGGGTGTGCATCCAAAATAAAGGCAGGAGATCAGTTTTCATCCCAAGAAAAGCCCCTCTCAATAAGCCCACTCTCCGCTACTGCTCCACACTCAAAACTTGGAGACTCCCCAGAGCTCCTCAGCTCTGCTCCAGGACGCAGCTAAGATTCCACCTCCCTCCAGAGCGGGGACCAATCGGATGATCACCTCGCTGCCCTATCCAATCAAAAGTCTTGCTCTCCGCCCAAAGGCGGGGACTGCGGGAAGTCCCCGCCCATGCCCTGGAATGTGGGCAGACAGCGCCTTTGACGTCACCGGGGAACTACTCCGGCTGAAGTGCCGCCCGCAGCCACGGTCTGCGGCAGCAGACAAATGGAGAGCTTGGATCCGGAAGTGAAGGGCAGGGGGAACAACCAACGAGAAAGGAGAGCCTGGGAGGGACAGCCAATCAGATAGCGACAAGAATACATTTTATAAGAGGGAGGGTGTCTCCTAAGAAAATCAGAGAAGTTAGCGCGCGTGTGGAAGACCGCGGTGCTGTGAGCGCAGGTTTAAATTCTGTTTTAAGTATTTTCAAGTAGATTAGCTTATTTGACTCTTTCAGAACATTTAAAAAATAAGTCACACGTTGCACACAAATATAAATATTCTCTCGTGCATGATTTCAGGTTAGCATATATCTGGCAAACTGTAATTGCTCGTCCTTCCTCACATTTTCCTCCCACTTTCTGTTAGGCTCTTCTCCTGTCGTGTTTTTTATGGGCTCTTATTTTATTTTTTTTATTTACCCTACATACATTGTTGAGGAAAGCCAACGGCTTTCTTTTCCAGGTGATATAAGTCTTAACTCAATGGAAGTGACGGGCAGTAAACAAGTAAAGAAACCCATGTCAGAAAGTGGTAACTGCTATAAAGAAAAACAAAAGCACAGTAAGCAAATGATATTTTAGATAGTAGTCGGGGAAGTTCTTTGTATGTAGGTGAGGTTTGAGCACAGACCTGAATGAAGTGAGGTTAGGGGAGAAGCTGCTGTTTTACTGACAGGCAAGGAAACACATGTGGAGGTGCTAAGCCCTGAGTGCAGGGAGAGGGGGCCTCAGACCAACAGGCCTAGATTGGGAAAGAAAAAGCCTCTTCTAAAATATTTCCCCCCAACATTGTGATTTTTCTTCCTCCTTTCAGACTCCTCCTTTTAAAGAAACAAAGTGCTTGCATACATAGTTTGCTCATTTTAAATATAAAGGAGTCTTTGCAAATTGTCCCTAAACGTTCCTTACAATGACACATTCCAGTGTGAAGGTTTGTCACCTTCACAAATATTTTTTGATGGATAGGATCATTCTAATTTTGTCTTAGGACTCTAGGGTGTCCTTTTGAGGCAGTTTATCATGGGAACTATTCCATTTGTCTGGACCTATCTCTTGGGTCGCTGGAGAATATTTTAATGCTTAAAATATAAATTAATTAATATAACAGTGCTTAAGTAGAATTCTACTTTGTTGGCCCACATTTCCTTTGTATAATAGTTTTCTTTTTCTTTCTCTTAGTTCTTGGTTTTTATTTTACAATCAGCTAACTCCTTCACCACGTCATTTTCATAGATCACCTATTCAATTTTTAAGGACTTTTTCGATTTTTCTTAGCATAACACTCAACATGAGCAAGCAAGGTAAGAAACATGTACACCCTCCTTAATGCTGGAATACAAACACTTATCTGTCAAACATTTCTATTCTAGGCAGTGTCAGACCCTGGTTTTGCCCATGTGGTTGGCAGAATCTAGGATGGCTCCAATGATCCAGCCTGTCTGTGTTCACACCCTCTTATAACTGCCTCCCCTTGAGTGTGGGTCGGACCTGGGGACTTCCTTCCAACAAAGAGAATATGGCAAAAGTGATGAGATGTCAAAAAACATTCTGACTCCTGGCTTCCTCATTCTCTCATCCTCTTTTGTTTGCTTGCTCTGAGCTACCCTATGGAGAAGCCTATATAGCAAGGGACTGAGGAAGATGTCCATCTAATAGCCAGCAAGGAACTGAGTCCCTCAATCCAATAACCACAAGTAACTGGATCCTGCTAATATAACCACTTGAGTGAATATGGAAGCAAATCCTCCCCAAGTTGAGCCATCAGATGACTACGGCCTTGTGAGAGACCCAGATCTAGAGGACTCAGCTATGCCATGCCCAGATTTCTGACCCACACCAACTAAAGGCAATAAGTTTATATTGTTTTAAGCCACTGAGTTTTTCCTTCATAAAATCAGTAATATAATAATTGGTGTCCTAAATGCTTGATTAAATTTATTTCTATTGCCATAGTAGTGGCACAGTCCCCAGTGGTGAGTTTTTTCAGCCTCCTTTATTTCATGTACCCTTCTGTTCACTGTATAGACTTCTTACCAGCACATTTTTTCTTCTACATCTTGAGTCTAGAGTTTGTCCCTTTCCCTCTCATTCTTAGGACTTAAAAAATTTAGTTGACTCTTTTTCAGCTTCTCTGGCATCCCTTAAAAAGTAGCAGCCCTTGCTCCCCTGTCTGTTATTTTGGGGTTTTGTTATTGGTTTTTGTTTTTTTGAGTTAATATTGACATATCACACTATATCAAATTCAGGAGCACAACATAATGATTCAATATTTGTATCTATTGTGAAAGGATCACCGCAATGTTTAATTACAGTCACCACGCTGTATATTACATCCTCAGGACTTACTTACTTTATAACTTGAACTTTGTGCCTTTTGCCCCTTTCACCCATTTCACTACCGACCTCCACTCGAAAGCCCTGCCTCCGGCAACTGCCAATCTATTCTCTGTCTCCATAAATTTGCTTGTTTCTTTAGATTCTACATAAGTAAGATCATACAGTATTTGTCTTTCTTTATTTGGTTTTCTATAATGGCATGCTTAGATGGGGCTTCCCTGGTGGCTCAGTGGTAAAGAATCCACCTGCAATGTAGGAGAAAGAGGTTCAGTCGCTGGTTTAGGAAGATCTGGAGAAGGAAATGGCAACCCACTCCAGTATTCTTTGCCTGGGAAATTCCATAGACAGAGGAGCCTGGCGGGCTACACTCCATGGGATCACAAAAGATTTGGACATGACTTAAGAGACTAAACAACAGCAATGCTTAGATTCCTTTATCTTTTGTGTTTTTGCTGTGTGATTGCCATCAGGCTTACAGAAAACAACCCTAAGTAGATAACAATGTAAGTTTGAATTCTTTCTAAATCTCTACATTTACTGCCCCCACCCATTTTGTTTTTGGTCACAGTTTACATCTTTTAATCTTATGTGTCCATTAAAAATTATCGTAGTTGCAATTATTTACTATTTTTGTCTTTTAACCTTTATACTAGCTTTTTAAGTGATTAACCAGTGTGCTTTTACTGTCTTATGTTTTCCTGTTAGTACCCTTTTGTTTTAGCTTAGAGAAGTTTCTTTCATAATTCTTGTAAGGCCAGTCTAGTGTCAGTGAACCCCTTTTGCTTTTGCTTCTTGAAAATCTCTTTATCTCTCCTTCAGTTTTGAAGGACAGTTTTTCCAGGAAGAGTATTCTTGATTGGAAGTTTTTTCTTTCAACATTTTGAATATTGTGCCACTTCTTTCTGGCCTGCAAAGTTTCTGTTGAAAAATCTACTAATACTTTTATGGGGGTTACCTTGTACGTAACAAATTGATTTTCTCTTGCTGCTTTTAAGATTCTTTCCTTGTCTTTAAATTTTGACACTTTGACTTTAATGTTTCTTCACGTGGGTCTCTTGGTGTTCATATTATTTGGAACTTTCTGGGCTTCTGGATCTGGATGTCTGTTACTTTTCCAGGTTAGGGAATTTTTCAGCAATTATTTTTTCACATGTGCTTCTGCCCCTTTCTCTCTCTCTCTTTTCCTTCTGGCTCCCCATAATGCAAGTGTTGGTCCACTTGCTGTTGTTCCATAAGTTCCTTAGACTGTCTTCACTCTTTTTTTTTTTGCTGCTCTGATTGGATGAGTTCCATTGACCTGTCTTGAGTTCAGTGATCCTTTCTTCCACTTGATCTAGTCTGCCGTTGAAGCCCTTTATTGTATCTTTTCAGTTCAGGTATTCTTAGTTCTATGATTTCAATATGGTGCTTTCTTATATTTTATTTTTGTTGAAATTCTTACTCTAGTTTATTCATTCTTCTCTTAAGCTCAGTGAGATGCTTAATGACCATTATTTTGAACTCTATCAGATAAGTCACTTATCTTTGTTTCATTAAGGTCTTATCTTATTCTTGTGTTTGGAACATACTCTTCTTTCTTTCTTTGAGTCTGTACGAGTTTCTATACATTCGCTAGAGCAGCCATCTCTCCCAGTCTTGAAGGAGTGGCCTCCTGAAGGAAGGTTATTGTCCAACTCTGCCTTAACTCTTGGATGTCTCTCAAACCATTATGATTGTCTAAGCAGCATACTTTATTCTTAGTAGTTCACAGTGGTTGAAGCTGTGCCAAGCCCTGTCAATATCCCAAAGGGAAGGATCTCAGTCAGCACCTAGATGCAGGCTGATTGGAGGTCAGACTCTCAGGCAGCACTTGTAAAGTATGCAAATTTCACAGAAAGACCAGAGATGGGCATTTCTGTTTGCTCTCTGTACCCTGATCCTTGGGGAATCACCAGTTAAGAACTGTTTCTTTGTTTGGTACCATTTCATTGAATCCAAGAATACAAGCCCCACTTTCCCCTCGGGCTGGCTATCAAGGGGTGTGTTTTCTG